CTATTAATAAAGTTAATATGTTGATTTTGTTCATTTGTATTGTATATAAATAGAACTAATTAAACAACTATGGCGTACTTAATTCATGTGTACAGCTGTTCAGCTCATTCTATAAAATAATCTATCATCTTCCATCTTGACATACTGATGCCGACAGACGAATATGATATACATACGCTAAATCGTTAATAATTATCGTGCTTGTTTTTTGTCAACAGCTGGCAATAAGCATGTCAATTTGATTTAGAAATAGTCATGCAATTTTATCTACTTATTTTCTAAAGAGAAACAAATGGTCTCTTAAAAAAACATATGTTCTCTATGTTTACTAGTTGATTTACGCTAAATTTTTACTTTATTATCATGTTTCAATTCATCTCTGAAACAAATGTTTTTCTTTCTTCCTATCGTTTTTTTTTTCATACACAAACATAGTGAAGATAATTTTTTCTTCGTAGAAGTGAAAATGTGATTGATGGAGTTGTCGCTTATGATCATCAAAAAGTTGACATGTCTAACCTTTTTCTATGTACGTATGTATGTAAGGCATAGCTAAAGCAAATCGTTTTGTTTGATTCATACTTGGTAACCTTTTGTACAGCTGCTTTATTGTGTATTTTTCTATACACAAGATAGACAACAGACCAGATACCTGTCCATTTTTTTCGTAACATCTGCATTAATCGTGTGTTTGCAGCTGTACAGTAACAGATGATGTTAATGATGCTCAAAAAAAAAAGAAAGAAACAGAAGATCAATTTTTTTCATAATCATGTTGGTATAGCATCGATACCTTCATTGTTATTGAATGTTTCACGTCAGATAAACGCTTTTGTACTAATGATGGGTGTATGCGAAGAAACGAATAATAATATCAGATTAGATACTATAGTGTATATGTGTCCTTACAACATAAATAAATGAGATTCTATTGCGTATTGTTGTAACTTGAGTAGAGAATAGAAAGATGATTATTATTTATTTGCGGTTTTGTTTTTCTATTACAGATTTTATTATATCATGAAAATGATTACAATTACAAATTTAGATGCTAATTATTATGAATTAGGACAAGAATTTCAAAAGCTTGCTTTACTTGTACCAATAATACCAAAAGATCAATGTATATCTGAACTTGAATTTATTGAATTTGTTATTACTTATATTCGACAATTACAACAATTAGTTTCATATGATCAATGGAATGAACATATGAATAAATTGACATCATCTAAGAAGAATTCTATTGTATCATCGCCATCGTCATTACATTTATACAAACAAATAGTGTTTCGATCATCAAGAATACAAACAAATGAAAGTTCACTGACAATTCGTCGAAGTCCATTGGTTTCAATTAATCTAGATAATACTCAATTATCTTGAACAGTATCTTACTTCTGTATCTGTGTATCTGTCTATTGCTGCTTCATTTACTCTTATTATTCATTTCTATATCAAAAGGAAAAGAAAGTTGTTCTCATACAATTTGAGTTTACGAAATATTTTTTCATGTTCTATTTTTGAAAGTAATCCAGTCATATGACGATGTAAAAAAATAGTTTTTTTCCAAAAAATCGAACATAAACAACAGTTGGAGATTGTTTTCTATAAAATGATATCAACTTTTTCACTCTTATTGACGTAATATTACGTCAGTACAATCTTCCTCCTGTTACTCTCTTCTACCGCTTCTTACATTTGATTTCGATTCGATTTTTCTTTTTCAAGTGTACCATTTTTCGAATTCAATAAATGAAAGTTGTTCATATGTCATCAATCTATGATATAATGAATATTGTTGTTAGTGAAAAGAAAAAAAAGTTAATTGAAAAATCTACATATGTTTATAAATTGAACGAGACGAAGATTATAGTCAATATGAACAATTCATCGGTAACACTTCTTTTTATCTCTTGAAAAAGATTAAAAAATATTGTAAGATATGCATACCCTCCTATATTGAACTATTTTGGATTCGTACCATATTGTGATTCAGAAAACGAGCAATGACGAAATAAAATAACTGCAATACCCTATAGTCGTTACTGATTGTCTTTCAGAACAAAATTTCCAAGGAAAGTTTAGAAATATAAAATTAAAGGAGGAAAACTCATTTTCACCTACACCAGTATGGTTAGTTTCATGATAATTCTCATGTTAAGTCTCTTCTATTGAAAAAAGGCAGTGTACAGAAGAACTAAATTACATTTGCATTCATCTATCGATTATGATTAAACAAACACAGCATGAATTGAGGCTTGAGTATACGATTTATAACGTTATACTCTGTGTTGATTCATATTTTTCCCGTGTACTACATTTTCTTGAATTCTTGCACGAAATTTTGAATTCCGACAATCTGGCTGTTAAGCAAAAGGAATTAAAGAGACATATAGGAATAAGATGAAAAAAACAATATTCCATTTCTTAGAGTTTGACTTATAACGAATAATTTTTTGTGTCTGCTTTCTATTGATATTGAAACTTCCTTTTGTCATACATACCACCAATATTATGAAAACCTTCTTAGTGAATGAATAAGCTCCAAGTAATTACCGAGGTACTTACCAGTTACCTGTTCAGTTTCTATAGCATTCTATAGAATATTTTTCAACAAATTAGTAGATTGAACATTTAAAATAATTTTGTAGTCAGATGCTAAAATCTCATAATTTACCCAAAGGTTCCTATGACATACTGGTTGCAGGATACCTTGGACTCGCGAGGGAAGTCATCCAACTGTTCAATCGCTTTTAAGTCGAGACTATGTGTAATAGATAGATTCAAATGAACTTTGAGCAGTATAAGAAGAGTTCTTCTACTTAGTGTATTGCTACGAAGATGCAGCACTCTTATGGTACTTTTTAAATAAATGCCGCAGTACCCTTAAGAGCACCATCAAAATCTGATTTTTGAATTTTGGCTTGAAATTTTCGTTAGACATAGGTCTTGACGAGAATAACTTTTTTTGTGTATGTTTCAGATCTTGTCATTATTCGTATCCTAAGATACAATCATGATCATAGCGTGCCCTTTACATTAGTTATATAAACCAGTCAATTTTAGGATCTTATTTCAGGATAGAAATGAATCAAAAGACCTAAAATTACTTTCGCTAAGACTTGTCTCTACGTAAAAGTTCTTGATGAAATTCGAAAATCAGTTTTTCGAGTGTAACTGAGGAGACCACACTGTTCAAAAAGATATTCTTATAGTGTAGTTTCTCTGTAGCAAAAACCTAAGAGTACTAACGCTATTTTAAGATATTCATAGCTCATTTGGATCTACACAATGCATATAGTCTCAATTGAAAAATGATTGGAAAATTGGAGAACTTCCCTTGTCATCACATTTACAAGAAAATTGCTAACTCTACAAACAAAAAATATTGATTTTAATTGTGCATCATATTAATATATCAGGCTTTTTAATATGCTTTGATTTCGTGAACTGTTAATTGTTTGAACCATCATCTCAGAAATACCACATTTTTTTCTTTTTGCAATTTCAATTAAATTATATATTTTCTAAGGTTGATGTATTGTATTGAAATTGTTTATAATTTGATTTTTTTTTAAAGAAAAACTACAGAATAGAATGGACAGAAATTTCAAAAATATGATTGATCAGTTGACTATATGACAGAAGCTATTACAATTAGGAAATCCAGATTAGAATTTCATTAAATATAAAATTCTAAATCAAGCACGTATTGACCGTTTCAAGTTACATAACAATGATATTGCACATTAATTAATGCTCGATTAAAAATTGTTCGTATATTGACTCATGCAAATATACTATGAAAAGGAAGTATTTTCATCATTGGAAATTTCATAAGTGATATGTAATGTCTACTAAGCAGATTTGTCCTTTGTATGCTACTGTGACTCATTTTGTGAATAAAGGTGCAAGACCACCTTTTTTTCTTTCTTTCATTGTTTTGATGCAATAGTTTATAGTAAAAACTTCTGGCCATTGCTTTATATTGTTTGCTGTATAATGTTAAAGTGCGTATGAAAATTTCACTTTATTTTTTAGACGTAAAAATTTATTAGGTTTTTGTCTATTCAATTAATGAAGATGAATATTAATATAATTGCTCAATAAGCACATGCGATGCAAAATCTTTAGACGGTTTATTTCTATCGACACAATGAATTTTTGAATTGTTTTCGTTCATGTTGACTTTAAAAGCACATGGTAAATTTTGCATTATAAATTTTATATGATTTTCTAAAAGTTTCGACAACTTTCGTTCTTATCAATCGTAAGGCACTTCTTTATCTAATAATTACTCTTCTGAGTTTGTTGTAAGTAACGTACAATATTTAACATAGAAAATTAGTTGAAAAACAAATGCAAAAAATTTTCCATTTTTGAATCGTTATGATTCTGACTATTTTGACTAAAACCAGAAAGAACTTAAAACATATCATAGACGTTTTCGTTTTCTTATCGGGTTTATATAATCGTCTGATAGAGGTGTCAACTGAGTAGTGTCTTATCAATGTCTATCACAGCTATATGTCCTTTTATTCTACAGCGATTATAAATCACGCTGTCATTGTTGTAATAAAATTTGCATGATCTTTTTCATTAGTATAACTATGCTCATCTCATAGAAATGCTCAATGATGAAATGAAAGAGTAGTGTCATCGCCACTCTCGACATAAATTTAGGTATCGTCATTGCAGTTAGTATCCTTCTCAAATAGACATAGAAGAAAGAAAAGCAAGCGAATAGCGGTCATCATAAATCGAAACGATAATATAGTAGAAATATGCATAATGGAAGAAAAGGTCAGGCGAAGGACATGATGATGATATAGCGGTCATGCTCTGACCGAGCGGGCAAAAGATGTGCTGTTCATGTAGTCGCACTTCTGGTAAGAATGTTTCAATGATTGACACGGTTGTCATGGATAGTTTGGATTAAAAAAGAACGAAATATTCAAATATTCTTCAGATCTTTATTGTATTAACCAAATTGAGGAATGGCTGAAGCAATAGAGGAAGACACGATTCCTTGTGAAAATTGTAATACACAAGTTAGCTTGCAGGATTGGGCATCGCATCCAGTATGTAAATAGAGCGTCTTCGTTGAATTTACTTCTGTTTTCTTTCATTCTATTGTAGGCACACTGCGCTTACAGTGAAACGAGTCGAGCGGAAAAATCAGACAGGTAAAATTATCGTGTATAAATCTATCGTGTATATTTTTTTTTAGAAATATTATCAATGAGTCTACTACAAATGATATTCCATGTGAATACTGTAGTGCTCAAATAAGTTTCGATGACTGGCAATCTCATTCAGTAAATTAATAAAATTATATTTCACTAGTATTTTAATAATATTAACTATATTATAGAAACAATGTGGTGATGAACATAAACAACGAATTGAAAAACTAAAAAAGTACGAATATTTATTAGAATAGAATGAATTATAGTTCATATATTAGTGGTATTCAGGATAATTCAACAGTAGAACTAATTCCATGTGAATACTGCGATAAACAAATTAATGTACATGATTGGGAATGGCATTCAGTATGTCAATTATACTTTTTTTTTATGATTTTAAATCTCAATTTCTTGTGATTATATGATAGAGACAATGTGCTAATACTAATAAATACGATGGTCTTAATAGAAACAAGTAAAACAAAATACCATTTGAAAAATGTGTTTTTTAATTTGATGTTTACTAGTTATGAAAATGAATCAATGGAGGCAGTTATTCCATGTGAATATTGTGGTGCTCAAGTTAATATACAGGACTGGTCATGGCATACGGTGAATAGAAGGCTTACTGTTCAGATGCTTGCAGTTGAAAAATTGCTAAAACTTGATAGATTGTTGATATAACTAATATTTCAATAGTTAAATTTTATTATATTTAAAGAAATAAGATAGTGGGAAAAAGTGTAATAACTACATGTTTTTAATTTTTCTATAATGTTAAGTACCTAGCTCAAGTTTAGGTAGTGATTTCCATAGCCAATAGAGTTTTCTATCTAAGGGATTCTATAGCAAAATTTCATGAATGAACTATGATGACAGATCGTAGTTTTCAGGTTCTAGAAAGCTATCTTTAGCAATGCTATTTTAAAAAATACAAAAATTCTGATCAAAATAAGGGGTCATTGCATTTTCTATCGCTTTTCCTTTAAAATTTAATAATATCGTAAAAATCGAAAAAAAAAGTACTTTTGATGTTTTGCTTTACAGATTTTGTGCTCCTTAAAATGACATTGTTAAAAACTAGTATTGTAGAACTTCAAGACTACCGTATTCGGTTTTCAGAAAGTTTGCCATCATAATTCATCTATGAAATCTTGATATAAAATGCATTAGATAGAAAACTACATTCGCTATTCAATGCACTATATGGATTTGACCTAATTGCTTTACACTATAGAAAAAAAAATACAATTTTGTTAAACTTTTTCCTATCACATCAATTCGCTTTGAATAATACGAAAACAGTTATGCGTAGCGGACAGCTGTCGGTCTACGTTTTTTTTGCACCCAAACTCCACAGACCCACATCGGAGTTTTTTTCTCATCGACATCTGACATTCTTTGCGTACATGAACAAGTGATAGGTAAAAGTTGTGCTATTTATTGATTATTGTTAGAAGCAAGCAAACATACAGCTATTTCTTGTCGTTCACTTTCTCACATAGGGAACTGCAGTTCATGAAAACGTGGACGGAGATTCCCCACAGTTTTCTAATGCATAGAAGCCGATTTTTCTCCTTAAATATAAACATAGTACTAAACTGCATTTTTGCCAAAATTGCTGACTGTTTCAGGCTCATAGATTTATTGATTCAGATTATGTCATATGTATTTTCTATCCATTACAGGAAGAATGTCAAAAAGCCGAAAAGCAACGAATTGAGAATATAATGAGGTACAGTAATAATAAATATATCTAACTTCATGATTACGAATGCTTAATCTCTAGACAAAATGCAGCGAAATCAAATCATAATCTTATTCCATGCGAAGTTTGTAAAGAATCTGTTCCTTTTCAAGATTTTGAAGCTCATCAGGTTTGTATTTTTTCTGTAACCTGTTATGCTAATTTTGATAGTGCACTTTTATGTTAAAAGATTGAATGCCAACGTAAACAAGCTGCATCATTTACAACAGTAAATGAATTTTTATGTTTTTATTTTGTTCAAACAAAATAGAATGCTTTCTATGAACAGGGATTGGGCGGTATTTTTTCTCTACCAGAACATTGGGATCAATCATCACCATATAATCTTTCTCGTTACACTCTTCAACCTGATACAGATGAATATAAATTTGTTGCAGATAATTTTCACAAGACATTACAATCAAATCAAATTGCTCAAATTGAACGAATTCAAAATCGACGTAAGTAAAGGCCATATGTGTACATACATCTGATACATCTATATAAGCATTATTGTCTGAACGAACTTTATTTAACAATAATAAAATGATGTTTCCTATTGAACTCTTTTATCTATTCTATGTTGATTTTATTACAGGTTGGTACCGTCAATATGATGCTCATAAAGATGATTTTATTGAAAGATATGGTAGAAGCACAGAACAATGGTTATTTCATGGTAAGAGATCAGTTTAGTTGTATGTTAACTTTTATATTTTAAAAAATAGGATGCAAATCTCAATCAGTCGATGCAATTATAAATGATTGTTTTAATCGTAGTCATGCAGTTCGTTGTGGTGAGAAGATAGAGTGAAAACATTAATGCTTTTTCTCATTTGATGATATGTGTAGCTGCTGGACAAGGTATTTATTTTGCAACTCAAGCTAGTACAAGTCTTAGCTATACGCAACCAGATTCGAATGGTCTTAGACATATGTTTATGGGTAAGAAATCGTTTTCTACATATTCTCGGATTAATTCATTTATGAATCTTCACTTAAATCTTGTTGAAAAGAAGAGATGAATTTTCGTTCATTCCTAAAGACAATAGTTTGAGTAAATGTTGATCTAGAATTCTATGCAAATATTGTGTATTATTAAATTAATTGACTTTCTTCTTTTTAGCTCGTGTTCTAGTTGGCAAGACAACTGCAGGAACTCAATCAACACGCGTTTGCCCACCGGGTTTTGATACGACAGGTGGAGGAACGGTTTTTGTTACTTATCACGATGCTCAAGCTTATGGGGAATATTTAATTGCTTTTAGATGATATTATTTTCAACTCTTTCTTTTGTTTTCAATATTCTGTTTTTGTAATTTAAAAATTTTTCTATAATGGATTAGTAACATTATGTGTCTCTTTACAGCATAATTGTGCTTTTTATATATCCTTTTTAACTAATTCTATGTAAACATGAATAAATAAACAAATATTCTTGAAGTTGTTTCGTTACTTAAACAGACTTCTATAATCAAGAATTCAAAAGTGAACTTATTCATAAACAACAAAGAAGTTTTCAAAATATGTAAACATAAATGTCATCTGTCTATAATATGAATTTGTACCACTATGCTACATATTCATTCAACTAATGTATAGTAAGTAACAGGTATTGAAAAAGTTTTACATTAATATTGTTTTCATTTTAGCGTAATAAGAACTTGTCGTGGAGACGACTTGATAGTTTACTTGTCAGAAGGAGTGAAATCTCTTCTAGAAGAATGTATAATTATTTCATTCAAAATGTTTAACGAAGCCTAAAAAGTGCCTTGCAACTTCATACAAAACCAGTATTGAGTAGTGCCCGGCGTGACTGGAGCTCGGTCACGGGAACTTTTTCGAAAATTTGCAAAGCCCTGAGGGGTAGTAGGGTACCTATTAGCACTGGTTATATAGTTTATTAAGAAGAAAAAAAAAGATGTATAGGTTCAACAACAGCAACGATAAAGAAAAGAAGCTTATATATATATATATATTAGTAGAATCATGCCATCTCTTGAACGATAGTGCATACAACGATGATCACGCCATATATAGAATAAAAGATTATCGAAAGATGATCACACCATATAAAAAGACAGATCATAATATGATTAAGACTATGAGGTGATAACAGTGTCGTAGAGAGTTACCTCGATAACGGGACCTTAGGGAAGCTACCCTCTCTCCCAGTCATCGTTTTTTGATGAAAAATTGAGAAGTTTCTAGTATTAGTGGTTTCGAAAACCCCTGGGGGGGATACGGGCACCTCCGTGAAGCTACCCTCTCCCCCCTCGACCATCACTTTTAATAGTAAACAAAAACTTTGCAATAGCTCTTTCTAGAAAGTTTTTTTCATGTTGAAGAACCAGAAAGAAGGGTCGTGACTCACGGTCACGGTGAGACGAGTCCATGACCAAAATACTTGGTCACATGAGGCACTAGTATTGAGAAGTGTATCTGATAGATTTCTCTTGCATTTGGCTTGTGAAATCTCAGATTTCGTAAGAAACAATTTTATTAAACACTTGATTTACTCACCACTAGAGCCTATTGAATGCGAAATCTTCGAATCGAGAGTCGCTCGATTTTTTCCTAAATGCAGAAGGGTGCGGAGAACTTTTCAACATTTGGTAAGTATTTTAAACGAAATATTTTTACAGAACTTTCTAATAGAGACTTTGCCCTTTCGAAAAATAAAACTATTCCATCTTCACGAAAAGTAGTTATCACGCTATACTGAAAACAAAGTTAATGCAGAACTTTTCCATCAACCGTTATTCATGAGTGAATGTTTCTTTGTATTCATCCAGACAGTGTGACACATATAAATGATTGTTATGAAATATGATCTAAAAGAAATGTTGAAGTATAGGAGTCAAAATTTGGACTTACCCTTCACAGATCATGCCAAAAATCTTAATTCTGTAACCTCTTTTTCGCTGATCATGCACATATATGCACGAAATTGAGATCTACTGCAGGATCATAGTGATAGATACAATTGAATTTAACATAGTTATTGTAAAGCCTTCTCTCACATTCATAACGGGAGCATTTGTTACTTGATTTCATTGTTTACAGTTGTAAGCAGTTTCATTGTATTTTCATATTTTAATTCTGCAGGTATTGAACTAAAACCTTTCTTCATGAATATAGCACTTTATAGATCACTAAATTGTATTTAAGTTAAGGTAATGATGAATAGGTATTGAAATATGTTCCAAATTCTCATTATTTTAACATCTTTTCCGTAAAGTTCGACGAATTTCTTTTTTTTCGAGATATGTGTTATGTTTTAGAGGAATTTAGAATTTAACTGCAATTTTTTTGAAATCTGAAGATCGGCTTAAAGAAACAAATGACCATCCATATCAATCAGATAACGATCACAATGCCAATGGTAATGTAATTTAAGCTTCACGAGAGAAAAAGTATGTTTCGATAGATGGCACTTGGATACAGTATTGTGTAAGAATTTGATAATTATGTAATATTCTCAGAATAAATTTTCTAATAAAAAGGCCTCCATAAATCATATCATAATAATACTCAAAAAGTTTATTTTATTAACACCTGAATAATTTATAAATAAACAAAATATAAAAATCATTAGTCATCCTATGCTTTTTTTTCAGTCAAGGTAACACTTGTATTTTTGTTCCTTTCTACACTTAACTGTCAAGTTCGACAGTTCCTTGGTTCGAAGCGTGTAATCTTGTATTAGTTTTCATTCCAATTAAACCTAATTTCAAAATGGCTCCTACTTATGGACAACGCCAACGAGTACGATCTAGTGCTGAATTTTCAAAAATTAATGTTTGAATTTTAATTTGTTTAGAGCAAATATCGTTTTCTCATGGGTATAAATGGCTTTTTATTAGCTTTTGCCATTTTTATCATCGTTTCAATGTCCATCTATTGGGGTTTCTTTGAAGAATGGACGATTTGGACTGATTATACAATGGCTTGGGTATAATGAATTTTTTTTTTTTGAAATGAATTAAATCTTTATTTTACTTATTTTAGATTGAATTTAATTTTTTCATTTATTATTGGGATCGTTTAACAATAACTCGTGCTTATCTTTCATTGATTTATATATATGGTTTTGTTCTTCTTACAAGTAAAATCAAAAAAAAAAAAACAAAAAAGAACCTTCAATTGATATAAAATAATGAATTATTTTTGTAAATTTAGTTATTGCATTACAAATTCATGGTTTTCGTCGTCGAAATATATTTCTTATGCAATATGTTCCATATTCATTATTTGTTTTAGCTATAATAACAATACTTGGTGGTTTAGCTTGGTTTGCTATAACAATGATAAATATGAATGCAGGATTTTTAACAAAAGAAACATTTTTACTTGAAAGACTTCGTTTTAAAGGTAATGCTTTTAAAGAATTAAAGTATCGCGAACAAGCATTTAATTTGGTAACAATGGGTCGTGTACCACCACGTGTTTTTATTTTGACTGCATTTGTTAATCAGTAAGAATGAATAATAGAGATCATTTTTTTTTTAAATAATTTATTTTTTGTTTTTTCTTTTAGACGTCAAAGAGATTTTAATTGTTGTGGTTGGAATTCTTATCTTGATTATGCAGCTTCATATAAAACTGATTTGCCTGATACATGTTGTCATAAAGTTTGTCCTTGTTTTTTTTTTTGCCTTCATTATTCTTTATTTAAATTTATTTTATTAGTATCAAAGAACTTTTAGTTGTGGTAAAAATATGTTAATTAATCCAGATCCAAAAGTTGTTAATACACGTGGTTGTGGTCCATTAATGAAATATTGGTATCGACGTGGATTTTGGGAAAATATATTTATGAGTTTATTTGGAGTATTTATGGGTGTTTATATGATGTTTGTATTTCAGCAAAATCGTAAAGAATTCATTCAATTACGTGATGAAGCTGATGATAGAAAACGCATCATACATACACAATCAATGACATCACTTCGTTCAATGAACAATAATACAAATAAGAATCAAACAAAAACTATTACACAACGTTATCCATATACTGGTATGAAAAGTTCACCAGTGAATGATGCACCTGATGGTTATGATTCAGATGAAAATAGCTCCAGTGTTCTCTATGAGCCGCGTCCAACGATTAATGCAAATGCTTAAAAAAATGCAAAACAAACTTTTTTGTATATACATATATATTGTGTAGTATGTTTAAATATCTCGAAAAGATTAGTCTCATATTCGATTATGTATAGTTTTTTTGATCTTTAACGAGCTATGAGTCAATTAGAAAAAGATTTACATTTTATAGCATACAGAGTTTTCAAAATGGTCTTACAGTATCATTCAGTACAGTAGAAAAGAGTAATTCAACATTTTGACAGATAAGCTTGTAGTAGAACAGTATATTGTAAAAAAATTTCAGATTTCTTTGCTTGTTTTTCTATTTGAAATGAAGAAAAATTCTAAAGTATAGGGCTTTTACTCATAACAGTCTCAAGAAAGAAACAGTAGACACTTTTATCGTTGATCTCAATTATTTTCTATCAAGAGTATATGCGATTCCTAGAGTCCCGGTTAAAAAAAAGAACAAATTTACATCAGGATTTATTTTCTTGTCAGTAATACAGATGCACTTTGAAGTAGAGGAGATGTCTGTTCCATCTTTGAACAACTTTTGTTTTTCAATAGTGGAGTTCCAACTTTTTATCATTCATCAGTTCCTAAAAAAACGCCTAGTCCCTCAAATTCAGCCATCTCAGAATATTCCTGCTGTTACAAATCGATAAATGCATATTTGTAATTTCTTTATGTGATCATCAGATTTTTTTTGATAACGATGAATTGATTAAACAAATGTTAGTATTTGCGAATAAGAAGAAAGATATTTCCCTTTTTATTGAATGATGTATATATTCATAATTTGAGGTTCTTTCTTTTCGAGGTTTTTTAACATTAATGTGTGTTGTATTTGTCTAAATTTTTGATCTGAACTTTATTTACATTCCTTTTCAATAGTTCTTTTTTTTATCAATGAAAATTTTGAATCACATGTTGGATGACATATGTTAGTTCATCACAAATATAATACAGTATAATGTAAAAAAGAAATTCCTCTAGTAAATTGATAAAAATTCAATTATAATTTTTTGTTAAAATATATTTAACAAACAAGAAAACAAGAGTATTTCATTTACGAAAGAGATGAAATTGAATCTATCTAAAAAAAAATCCTGAAGAATATATTCAATGAAAAGAATTGCTTGACGTATTAGATAATAAAACTTATTAATGGAACAAGATAG